GTCCCATAAAACTCACCCTCATTGCCTGATTTATGGCATGGACATTTCTTCTTTCTCTCTTCTTTTGTCATTAAGATTTGCAATACAGATACTGAGAGGCTATCATGTTTAGGCCTTTATTGACTTTTATCACACATCTCCTATCCAAAGCAATCCCTCCAATCATCATTTTCGTAGTAGTCCCTTGTCTATCCCAATTGCCCTCTCCCCCAGCACTTGAGGCAGGCTTCCAACCATGTACTATTCCTCCTGGCCCATAAAAGACTCAATCTTAAGAGAGACTATCAATAACTGAAGACAGTGCAGGCAGCAGTGGTAGAACACTAGTCAGGTATGTGAGAGGCCGTAAATTCAATCCCTCTCATGGCAAAATTTCTTTCTCTCTGTTGAGTGGGGAGAGAGGCTGAAGATTGAGCTAAATTACCAATGACCTATGAGTTTATCAATATTGCTCTGTAATGAAGTGGCACTGCAAAATCTCTCTTCTCTTTCCCTTTCTCTTCTCTTGCGTGGTGGGAGGGTCTGAAGATGGCATTCAATCACCAATGACCTATGAGTAAGTAAACAATGCTTATGTAATGAAATGTCCACAAAAACACAACTGGAGGCTGGGTAGATAGCTCAAAGGACTGAATAATGTGACTTATCTTTTGCTGGAGGCACGGCTTGATCCCTGGCATCTCACGGTACACCACACATTGTCAAGAACAAGCACAAAGCCAGAGTAAGCCATGCACCAACTCTGAGTGTAACTCAAGACAAAAAATATCCCCACCCGAATAGGGTCAGCTAAGGAGAGATCTTAAAGTGTTAATGTGACTGCTTTGCATGCAGAAGGCCTCAGTTCACTCTCCTACATGGTACACTGTCAAACCCAAACACACAGGGTCAATGGTCAGAGTGTAAACAAATGTAGATTAGTGGAGTGGGTTGCCTAGTCAGTATGTGAAAATTCCACACACTTTTCCTAGACCTTGACCTATTTATCTCTTCTTTCTCCATTTTTCATTGTGTTATTGTATCTTTTTTAAATTGAATCACCATGAAATACAGTTACAAAGTTTTCATGTTTTAGTTTCAATCATACAATGATTGAACACCCCACCAGTGTACATTTTCCAGCATCAGTGTCCCCGGTAGCCTTACCCCCATCCTAACACTCCCCCTTCCTCTATGGCAGACAATTTCCTCTTACTCTCTCTCTACTTTGGGGAATTAATCACTTAATCACGTAACTTCCCAATAATCGTCGAGTTGTTCGAGTGGGCGCCAGTAACGCCTCCATTTGTCCCTGTCGTGTGCTAGTGTGGCCCAATAGCATCTGTTCACTCTAGGAACATGAAGAGCCTCAAACCGATCGTTCATGACCTTGATGAAGAAGTCTGACCATCTGGTAGGTGGGTGGCTACGCGGTCTTTTGACATCTCATGGAATCCAGTCAGTAACAGCTCTAGTCCAGCGGTCGTCTTTAAATCTCATTACGTGACCAGCCCATCTGATTTTTGACACCTTGGCAAACAAGACAGCGTACCTGATTCTTGATCGTCCACAGATGTCGGAACTCTGGATTCTTTCTCTCATTTGAGTGAAATGTGATATTCCAAGCATAGCTCTTTCAATTCCTCTTTGGGAGACCCGAATAAGGTTCTCATCCTGTTTGCGTAGGGCCCAGGTCTCTGAGGCATATGTTAATGCAGGAAGAACAGTGGAATCAAAGAGATGTGCCTGGAGCCGGAGGTTCTTCATCTTCTTATGTATTTCTTCGACGCTCTTGAAGGCGTTCCAAGCTGCCTTCTTCCTCCTGTGCAGCTCGAGTGCCAGGTCATTTGTCATGTTGACTTCTCGACCTAGGTACACATAGTTGTTGCATTTGGAGATGGTCGTTCCGTTGAGAGCGAATGAGGCATCAGGAACGAGGCTGTTTCTCATGAACATTGTCTTCGTAAGATTCAGCTGTAGTCCGACCTTTCTCCATTCACAGTAGAAGTCGGCCAGCATTTGTGCCACTTGGCTGATGTTTGGTGTTATTAAAACAATATCATCAGGAAAGCGGAGGTGGTGTAGTTGCCAACCATCTATCTTCACTCCCATTGCTTCCCATTCCAGTCATCGCATGATGTTCTCGAGGGTGGCACTGAAGAGTTTCGGTGAAATGGTATCACCCTGCCAAACCGCTCTCTTGACATCGATGATTACTTCTTTGTAGAATGGTGAGATCCTGGTAGTGAATCCGCAATACAGCTCACGGAGGATCTTGATGTATTGAGCTTGAATGCCCCGATTGGCTAGGGCTTCAATGACCTCTTCCATCTCAACAGAATCAAAGGCGTTCTTTAAATCAATGAACGTTAGACAGAGTGGCATGTTGAACTCCCGAGAAACCTCAATGAGTTTGGTTATCCTGTGGATATGGTCGATGGTGCTGAATCCTTTGTGGAACCCGGCTTGCTCGCATGGTTATCCTTCATCTAGTGTTCTGCCAATCCTGTTCAGAATGACTCGAGTGAACAACTTGTAGACGACAGACAATAGGCAGATCGGGCAATAGTTGCCAATGTCATGGATGTCTCCCTTCTTGAACAGTATTACAGTCCTGCTGGTTTTCCATTGGGATGGAACCTTGCATTCAGACAGGTAGCGTGTGAAGAGCCGAGCCAGAGTATTGATGAGTACTGATGGCAGGTTCTTCAGGTGTTCAAGTCTGACCTTGTCTGGGCCAGGTGCCCTTCGTTTCTTTACTGACAAAATGGCGTGTCGGATTTCAGAAGGGAGAACATTGAGAACGACATACCCATCCTGTTGAATTTGGTATGTCGGCAAGTGGACATGGCTATCTAAGATATTTGAGTAGAAGTCATGGATAATCTTCTCCATTGCCATTCTGGAGGATGTGATAGATCCATCAGGACGTTGGAGGGCAGTCATCTTGGTCTTGTAGTTGGCGAAGGGCAGGCGGGCGTTATGAATACTTTTCCCGGCTTTTGCCGCATCTACCAGCACTTCTGCTCTTCTCTCTTTGAGGTCTTCCTTGATCGCATCTCTACACTGCTTTGCGGCCGCACGACACATCATTTGGGGAATTATGGTTTGCAATATAGATACTGAGAGATCATCATGTTTGGTCCTTTATCTACTTTCAGCACACATTTCCTATACTGAGCAATCTCTCCAACCATCATTTACTTAGTGATCCCTTCTCTATCCCAGCTGCCTTCTCCCCATAGTCATGAGGCAGGCTTCTAACTGTGTAACAATCTTCCTGGCCCTTGTCTCTACTGCCTATGGGTGTAAGGACAGTAGAGACAAGGGCCAAGGAGATTATTGTATCTTTTTTTTAAAAAATGAAGATAAAATCTGTAAGGCCTGCAACATAGAATGGAAAGAAAGACAGTGGGGAAGGCATAATTGATATGCAAAAGGGGAAAAAGGTCCTGCTTGCAGGAAGCTTATGTTCCAGTTCGTGTAGTGCAACAGATATATAAGTCACATAAAAATGTAAAAAGAAAACAAAAAGAGAAAAGGAACAGGTGATCTAAATTTTTAAAATTACTCTAGTGAGCAAAAAATAAAAATTATACAGAAATAATTTAAATGTAGAAATATTTTTTGTTTAACTTCTTGAAATTCAGTACATCATTTCAAAATATAAGCAATCTGAACAGATTATAAATTAATTTTACATTGCTTTTCCTTATAAAAGTCTTTCAAATGTCCAGTTTCACTTCAAGAAATATAAAATAGACACAAGTTACAAATTAGTTCAACATTTTTTCTAAGTCTAAAATGTAGTGTGTTGTTACAGAATGAACATAAGAAGAACAAAATAATAACCACACTACTATTAAATAATTTTACATTTTTGTCTCATATTTTGAACTTTAGCTTTCTATCTTTTGAAACTGCAAGCAATATAGTATTATTTCTTTTCTGTATATGGAAATCCTTTGGTTGTTATTTCAACATAAAAACAATAGCAACTTATTCTTAATTTCTAAATTTTAAGCATAGTCTACTTTTTGAATCTTCAAATTCATCCAATTTTCACTTCAACAAGGAAACTATGTGAATGAATATTTACTAAACTTTTGAAACACAGCTCTATATGTGTGATATGTAAACAAATTACATTCATTTTAATGTTTGACATGAAGTATAGCATTTAATATGTCGTCAATGTAAGTAAATTACCAATTACGTATTTTTCATCCTTTGTTTCTTATTAAATCTTGTGTAGACAATGTACATTTAACACATCCCGTCACTTTTCAAAGTAGTCAATTTTTTTAGTATTGCTTAATCACAATACTGTCTGCCTTACTGAATATTACAATTCTATGGGAACAACAAAGACAACAAAGTCAAATAAAGATATGTAACATGAAGAAAACATGCATGGTACATTAAGAGAAAGAAGGATCACAGCAAACCCATTCAAGTAAGTAAGCAAACCCATTCAAGTAAGTAAGTAAAAAAACCTACTTGAGGAAGTACACTTTAAGCCTTGGGCTGAGGTTTGAGAAGCTATCCAATAGCATACGGGGGACAGAATAAATTGATCAGAGTCATTGTCACTGTCCTCCCTTTGTTCATTGATTTGCTTGAGTGGGCCCGGTAACATTGTGAGACTTGTTAACTGTGTTTTGCATATTGAATATGTCATGGGTAGCTTGCCAGGCTTTGTCGTGCGGGCAAGACACTCTTGGTAGCTTGCCGTGCTCTCAGAAAGGGGCGGATGAATCAAACTCAGGTTGGCCATGTGGGCCACATGCAAAGCAAACACCCTACTCGCTGTGCTACATTTCTTAAATAGAAGTTTACATATGTCTCTATAAACGTTGGCTTCAGGAAAACCAACCTATGCGTGTTTTAACACACCGATCGTGAAGCTTCAATGCGTGTAAATTAAGCAACAGATAAGTATGAACTGCCATGGAACACCGAAGTCACAATGTTTTAATGGCTGTACATCAGTGTTGAAGAAAGTGCTTGTACTGGGAAGATTAATGAGGAAAAGCAGTCCACTTCATGTCTTCCCGCTGTGCCATCTGTAGTATAAACATCAACTGGGCCTTCACTACAGCAAGTTTCTCTCGATCCAAACTGCGATTAGGATCCTGTTGTTCATAACAATCAACAGGAACAGGATAAATCACATACTTCAGATTCATCATGGCTGTTAAATGCTGCGCAAGGTTCATGAGTACAAGCACAGAAATGCAATTACAAGCAAAGCTAAAGATATGAAGGCAAGAACAGTGGGTCAGGGCTGGGAGTATAGCAGAGAGAACAGTATCAGTGATTTGGCAGCTGTTTATATCCAGATACTGCAGGGTGCCTGAGACATTCTCCAGAAGATTTATCAAGGGCTCAGGAAGTTCCCAGGTTAACTGATTGTTACTCAGCTTTAGTAGCTTTAAGTGGGTTGCCTGAATGCTCTGGGATAGGGCAATGATATCTCTGGTAGAAAGGTCACAGAAAGTTAGACTCAGTGTATCCAACTGAGGTTTCAGGACTCTGTTAAAAAAGAAAAGGAAGATTAATCCAGAAGTATGAAATATTGGACCAGAGACGTGAAGCCTTATTTATAGCTCTCAAAAAATGTAGGGCAATTTCTACATAATTTGCAACATCAATATTATCAAAGATATTTGAATCTACACTTTACAGAGTAATGGCCTCGGTAAACAGTTACTTTGCACTCTGGGATTCAGACTCTTTAGCATTTAAAATGTATATGACATTAGCATTTACAGGTTATGGGAAAGGCAGTGATTGATAAACAATTGCTACACAACATAATCAATGGTGGATCTTATTCATATATTTGGTCTGAGATAGATCTAAAAAAGCAGTCAGGTGAGGATCCCCTATCATTAGTCCCAGGTTACAAGCTCTTCATTTGGGTGTAATAATTGGAGAAACTATAGGAGCATAACAGCTTGTAAGTACAGAGCCCAGTCCATGGAGATATGCATCAGAGCTACAGCATAATGCATTTCTTTATCTGAATGCCTCTGCACTTTGTTTCTCATTAAATGGGCATAAGCTTCAATAGGGAAATGAAACTTTTCCTCCATTATATCTGCAAACATCACAGTATTTGCACATAGTTGATTGGTTCACTGAATGAAAGAAGAAGCAGTTTCCTCGTCTAACATTGTTATTCTCCTCACCCACAAGGTGCCTCTCTAAGGTCTGACAAATTTTAATTTCTCAGCAATGCCCAAATTGAGTTAAAAATATAATCTTAGAAAAAATATATAATCTTAGTAGTATTTAAACACGGATTCTTTCCTGCTTCCTTCTTCACCTGAGTAGTTTGTGCAGCTGATCGGTGAGGCAGAAGAAAGACAAACTCAGCTCCTCAAGGTTTTCCAGCTTCCCAATACAGGTGAGAAAATTTTTGAAGTTTCTTTTTCTTGATCTACACTCAACATCAACCAGACGAAGGCTTTCCAGGTGGATCGACTGTGATAAAAGGGTGTTGACATCCCTCAGGTGAGCCTTCTCCAACTCCAGGTGGTCAACACACACCAGATCAACAATCTTCAGGCTACTTTTATGCACAGACAGGTTACTGATTTGCAAATTTCTGCAGCAGAGGTGTAATGAACCAAAGCTCCGTTCAATCTTACTAGTAAGGAAAGAAATAAATTGCTTTGTTCTCAAGATATAATTAAATGAAAGGTCCACCAATAATTCTATGGGTTTCCAAGCTGACAGAGGCAAAGACTCTGTTGTAACTATTCCTTCCCTTATAGTATTAAGCTCTTCTTCTTTTACATTCATGATGGAGTGCTGAGAATAAATACAAGATAGAAAACATAAAGGGTATGCGTCCCTGTATGAGCATGTTATTGCATATTCTGGGTCTTGCCTTAAATCAAGGATCCTTAGTTTGGGGCCCCTGGAAAGAAAAAGGAGACAGAAGATGTAAGACACAGCAAGATCTATTAAAACCCAGCCTCACCAAGGATGTGAACTTTGAACAGTTTCTGGTTTCAACTCCATATATCATTTAAACACAAGCTCTTTCCACAAAAATATAAGCATCTTTCACTCATTCCCTCATACTTTCTTCTCCTATGATTCTCTCCAGTTTAGATGTCCATGCCACCTTCCCATACAGTCACATTCAGGATGTAAAATCGAACCATAGTATCCTCAACCAGTCCTATTATATAAAAATCTCTGCTAAGTCTTTTAAGTATTTATGGTGGCTCAATTTGTTGGATCAATAGTCTCAAAGATATCCTAAATATACATAACTGGTTGCTTTGGAGAGACTTGGTATTCCTTGGCCTGTGACCCAATATACCCTCCCGCTGCCTTACAATTTTTCTATTCTACTTATCTTACCCAAGAGAAGTGTTCTGTGCAGGGAGGAGTTGCAGGCCATCTACCATGGCTTCCATGATGTCATAGTTTGATTCTTGTGGATGCAGTGCCCCAATATGCAGACATCGAAAAGGCCAAACTCTCACCATTGCCTTTAGCACTTCCTTCTGTTTTCCCAAGAAGGCAGCAGTAAACAATGGAACAAAGAGGTCTACAGGGAGTTCTTCCACGGCCTGGATAGCTGCAGACTCATTACTTAGCAGACTCTTTATAGAAAGTTCCAGCAGTGTGTCTACGGACTTTTTCTCCATCTTCGTTAACCTACTTCAGGGTGATGTACATTGAAAAATTCTGAAAAGATATCTACAGATTCCTGTTTCACCCCAAGAATACTTAGAAATTTAAATTAAGTATCCACTATAATAATATTTGATGAAAAGAATTGTTACCTCAAGAGATATCTACTATGAACACAGAATGTAAAGAAATGTATGTATCTAAATATATACAATTTCATAGGTAAGTATAAATACATACAGACATAATTGTATATTTTTATAAGATTTTCAATCAAAATTGGATGTAAGTTAACAGAAGATAATGTTGATTACCCAGTTACCTACTTACCAATATTTATGCCTCAAAGAAAACAAACCAATAAAGAACCTGAAAATATATATAATAAAATCTCACCCTTATTATTATTTTTTTTGCTTTTTTTTGCTTTTTGGGTCACACCCAGCTATGCTCAGGGGTTACTCCTGGCTCTGCACCGAGGAATCACTCCTGGCAGTGTTTGGGGGACCATATGAAATACTGGGGATTGAACCTGGGTTGGCCATGTGCAAGGCAAAAGCCTTACCCACTGGACTATCGCTCTGGTCCCTCACCTTTTTTAATATTCTAAAGTGAATAATGCCCAAACCGTCAGAATTATGAGTTAAGAGAATCATCATGAATCCAAACACATAATCTGTCATAACCTCATCGCTATAGCTTCGTTGAGAGCAAAGACAAATAAAAAAAAAGATGCAAGAGATAAGAGAGGAAGAAGTTGGCAAGGAGCCTATAGCTGACATAAAGTTACAGCCAGAATTACTAAGCACAAACTAAGTCTGAAAATAACAAAACCGCATGAAAAATTATCACAAGGATTTTAGGGAAGTCATGAAAAATAGGGAGTGTTTTTTGAGAGTTGATGCAAAGGCCTAAGCTTAAAAAAGTACACTTTGAGGAACATGAAGTCAATGCAGAAGGCATGAGTATCCTCTGACGCCTAGATAATGATGGGGAAAAGAAACAAAAGGGAAAGGGAGTAAATTAATCATATATAGAAACCATCCATGAAACACAAAATCAGAGTATTCACAATTTGTCCCTCCATAACCAAAAATATCAAAAAGTTTAAGGGCCTGAGTTTTGATACACTGACAGGAAATAACACCATTAAATTAGGAATTCTTGATACAATTCTTATCATTGAAATAATAAGGATTCCTCAAAAAAACACTGAAAAACTATGACAAAATAAAGTTCCACGTGTTAACCAAGAGGCAGAAGGAGTCTGTATGTTAACAATCTTTGTTTACTCTAAGGCATCACACATAATCCTTTGAGCAGAACCAGGTTTAATTCCTGAACATCGAGCCAGGAATAATCCCTGAGCAACACCTGTTGTGGCCACAAAGCAAAAATAAAAATTGAGGGCATAAAAATCTACTTTGGGGTGAGTGCCTCTTCCTCGTTGCTGACGGTGCCTCCAACTGCGGCTGGGCGGGAGGCGGAGGATTGATGTCAGCTTATGGGCCATTATGTTCTATCTCACCAGTGCCAACAGCCCTGCAGCGGTGATGAGCATAGGCATGGAGCACAGGAGCCGCGTGGAGGGAGGAGACAGTGTGGCTGCATCTGGGGCTGCGGCCACCATGGTGCTCCGGGACCCAGCGCTGCAGATGACTAAAGAAAGAGCCTTTGAAAATATAGAACTGGGGAGTATGGTGCCGCCAGCAGGTCAATCTGTACGTGTGAGGCAAATGCATCAGCAGCCTGATGGCGCCTTCAGACTTCCAGATATCCAAAAATTGCTGTTGTGCCTTTGGCCAGACCCCAAACACTTGGGGCAAGTTTATCAAGAAAGTAAACTGCCAAAAGTTAGGTATGTGGGAAACACACCCACAAACTACCTCCGGCTCAGCTATATAATTGGAGGCATGGCCTCTCTGGTTCCTGATTGAACTGATTGAATGGCCATGATCCCAGAGACTCAGAAACTAATCTCGAAACCAAGCGGCTTTTGGAAGAAATGCGTCCGGTCCCTACAGTATGTTACTGGTGCTGGACCAACCCAAGTGGGAATAGGTTTCGTGCCTTGGCATGTTCCCCCCAGCGGCCCAGGGGCCGCTATCCTTCAGAGGCCACTGGACAGACAGGTTTGGGCTCCCAGTGACAAGACACGCAGGGCCTCACAGGATGGGTGTGGAGCTGGTCCTGCCCTTCCCACTCCAACGAGACCCAAAGTCATCACCCACGAACGGTCTCTCTGGATCCCGATCAAGCTGCTTAATGGTCATGATCCTAGAGACTCAGAAACAAATTTCTAAACCCAGCGGCTTTTGGCAGAAATGTGTCTGGACCCCTCAGTTGGTTACTGCCGCTGGGCCACCCCAGGGGAGAAAAGGTGTTGTTCCTCTGCCTGGTCGCCTTTGGGGCTCAGTGGTTGTCATCTTCCAGAGGTCATTGGACAGTCAGGCTTGGGCTTTCAGTGACGAAACTTGTTGGGCCTCACAGGATGGGGGTGGAGCCGGTCCTGGTCTCCCCACCCCAATGAGACCCCAAGTCATAGCCCATGAACGGCCTCTCTGGCTCCTGATCAAGCTGATCAACGGATATGATCCCAGAGACTCAGGAGCAAATCTCGAAACCCAGTAGCTTTTGGCAGAAATCCCTCCAGATTTAAGTGTTAAATTTTCGGAATTTCAAAATCACATGGCCCTACTGCAGCCACGTGACATCATATGTTATTCACAACCAGCAATAGAACACAAAGTGTCTACTGTTGCCTTTTCAGATCTGAGTGTTGGGATAAAATCTCAAATATTAATGGTGGGTCTGGTGTCTAAATATTGAATGTGACCAAAGTAGAGAGAGAGTAATGTGGAAATCATCTGCCCCACAGGTAGGGGGAGGGTGTGGGATGGAGGTATACTGGGGTTTTTGGTGGTGGAGAATGGGCACTGATGAAGGTATGGGTGTTTCATTGTATGACTGAGACTTAGACCCAAGAGCTTTGTAACTGCTCTCACAGTGATTCAATAAATAAAATTTTAAAAAATGAAAAAAGGTAAGGTGGAGTTCATGCACAATTCAATCAGCTAATCAGTGGCTGAATAAATAGCAGTACTCCTACATTAAAAAAGAAAATGTAGAACTGAGAGTCATAGGAAAAAAGAAGAAAGTCCCAAGAAGAGTTATCCACTTTGTTAGTGGTTAAACAATGGAAGAATATAGTACAGATGAAGATGAAGTTGATGGCCTGGAGAAGAAAGATGTTTTGCCTACTGTTGATCCGACAAAACTTACCTGGGGCCCCTACTTATGGTTTTACATGCTTCAGGCTGCCACCTCAACCCTCTCAGTGTGTGACTTTCTTGGAGAGATGATTGCCTCTGTTTTGGGCATCAGCATCCCAAAATATCAGTATGCCATTGATGAGTATTACCAGATGAAGAAAGAAGAAGAGGAAGAAGAAGAAAACAGGTTGTCTGAAGAAGCAGAAAGACAATTTCAACTGAATAACGTACAGGCCGATATAATTGTTCAGAGAGGTCAGCCAGAAACTGGTATCCAGTTCCTTTGTGAATCTTAACTTTGAGATGGAGGGAGACTGTGAACTAATTATGGAAAGCAAGCAAAACCCAGCCTCTGCCCCACCATAAAATCAGATGACTATAAAACTTTATACACTAAGGGATTTTTTATACCAGAACCTTTTCTCATTCTTTATTCATTGGGACTTAATTCGGTGGAATTTAATACAGTTATTTATATTTTCAATTATTAAGTTGTCTAGAAAGGGAAAATTATTATTCTTATCCTCTAGCAAAAGCTAGATATAAAATTTGGATATTTGTACTACATATGCTTTTCACTGTGTCTCAAATTAGTGCTTTGGTTTAAAGTGATCTTTTAAAAGTTCAAGGGCATTTTTTCACCCTAACTGCCAATAAAAACAAATTATCAGGTATCTGTTATTTTTATTTGTAAAGAAAACAAAAACATATAGTTGTTTAAGGCTAGTTGAAACTGATGTTTTTTTATCGCAGATGTAATTTTTCTCTCTAGACGTTGTCATGTGTACCTTTATATATCTCACCATTCACTTCATACTAAGGAGGGTTTACTTTGTGTGCAATTTAAAAGAGCAAGGATATACAAAAAATCTATTTTGAAACAGAATTTTTGACAAATATAAACAAATTCTTATGTTTATCAGTACAAGTATGCTGTATTTCTAATATCCTAGGCTGTAGGAAATAGTTTCAAGAAATAAATAAGTATACTATATTCTCTAAGTCCTCACCAAAGTGTTGAAATGGAAGGGTATTGGTAATTTGGTGGGTATGGTGGTGGATACCTTAGTGATGGGTGTCGTGCTGGAATTATGTGAAAGAGAGCCCATTATTAACAGGATTGTGAAACAAAGAATCTCAATAAAAATTAAAAAGAAGCACCTATCAACAAAGCGCTTGCAAACTGTGATCTATGAGCCAAACACCTCCCAGCACTAGGTTTTGTTAATAAAGTTTAATTAGACCTAAACCATGGCTGATTATTCACCTATTATCAAAGTATGCTGATGATACTAGGCAAAGTTGAATGGTTGTGACAGAGAAACTGTGGCCCAGATATATGTAATGCTTACTGGATAGATCTTTAAACACATTATTTACTAAGTCATTCTCTAAAACATGAACTTGGCTTTTTTATTCTAGATGTGATGGCAGGTAAAAAAAACTGTACATCTTTGATATTAAGTATTTTTAATGCAGTATTTCAAAATTGCTGTCCCATATTTGTAAATACATTTAAATTCCACCTCTCATCACATGTGAAAAATACTTAAAAGGGATCACAACATATATTACTTTTCATATTTTTGTTTTGGGGGTCATAGTCAGTGGTCCTCAGGGCTTACTCCTGGTTATGAACTCAGAGATAACTCCTGACAAACTCAGGGGACTAAATGGGGCCCCGGGTATGGAACCTGGGTCAGCCGTAGGTTAAGCAAGCACCCTATACCTTGTACTATCACTCTGGCCCTGCAATGTATTTTCTTGGTAAGGCTGCAGGAAATAGTCACTCTTTTATAGTACTGCTAGAAATGCAAATAAGTTGTACCTTCAGGAGAGAAATCTAGAAATACTACACAAAACTACAAGTGCTCTTTAAATTTTGCCAATAAATTCACTACTTGAACTATTACTTCAATAGTTATTTCCAACAATATGAAAGTACTTTTATCCAAGATTTATAACAGCAAAGTATTCAAAACCACTTAAATTCACATACATTATGGAGAGATTGTGTGCGAGTGATAGAGCTCAACAATAATGTCCAATGCAGCTGTGAAAAAAAAGTAGTTCTCAGGAGAAAACACACAATATGAAACTAATACCCATGGAAAGTAGAAATAAGGACCAAGAGGACTGTTCCATGGAAGGAAACTTGCCACAAATTGAAGGGTGTGGGTAGGGCAGTTAGAATAGAGAAGGGAGCACTATGACAATGATAGTGAGCATACTTTTTCCATATGTTCTAGTAATTGTCATCTTTGATATTTTCCCAGAAGAGCTAAAATTTACACCCATACAAAATGCTAAACCCAAATATCTAGAAAATTTTTTTCATAATTGTCAAAACAAGAGACATAACTGTGATGTCCTTTAGAGTAGATGAATGAAAAACTGGAGCACATCCAGGCAATGGAATATTACTCAGGTCAGAAAAAGACAAATTACCAAGTCATGAAAAAAATAGGAAGCAAACTTAAATTCACATGATCTACTGAAAGAAGCCAGTCTGAAAATCCTATACTATATCCAACTACACAAATCTTTGGAAAAAGCAAAACTATGCAAAGAGTAAAAAGATTAATGGTATATAGGGAATGAGGCAAAAGGTATGAATAGGTACAGGATAGAGGAATTTTTGACAAGTGAAAATACTCTGTATGATACAATGATTGATACTCATCATATTATATTTATACATAGAAAATATGCAATAATCATAAAACATACAAATTATATACTGTGATAATTTTGATATATCAATGTAAGTTAGTAAACGGAAACACTTGCATCACTGTGATAAGAAAAACTGATGCTGATGAAGCCTGTATAACATGTAGAGAAAGTGGAAATATAAAATAACAGGGAGGTTATACTTGTGTAAGATATATTTATCTTAATGGCTTATGGTAATAGTTATAGTACTTTCCTTTGATTGTTGCTCTGAACCTTAAACTACTCTAAAAATTAGTCTTCATATTTTTTAAGGAGGTGAGAGTTCTGAAGATGGATGGTAGAAATAATTTTGCAACATTTTGAATGCATCTAATTACCAAACTGCTCAACAACAAAAAAGTGGATAAGCAGGTAAATTTTATATTTTGTGTACTTTATCACAACTTTAATAGGAATAAAATATATTTATATATACTAGCAATGTTAAAAAAATAAAAGAAGAGAGATTTGTTAGAGTTCTGTTAAGTTAAATAGGAAGATAGGTGCTTTGTATATAATTATTTATAAGGTGCTTTGTATATAATTAATTTTGTATTTAATTAAATTTTATTCTTATTTATTAAACAAGTAAATAAAGCAATCATATATAAAATCTTTTCATTAAAAAATAAATGCAGCACAGTTTAATCAGACTGAAAATTTTGGTTATCTTCTGGAGGTAAATGGGGAAAGAGGAATGGAAAGAAGTGAGGAATCAGCGTAGTAAAAGCAGGGCAGTAAGAGGAACACTTCTCAGAATTGAATTTTATAAATTGGAGGATGGTTGTCCCTCAGTCTTTAAATCATAAGAATGTTTCACATATCCAATAATTTTTTATTTCATTATCTTTTCAATTTATTATACTTAAGGCGCTATGTTTACAATAGTGTCTACAATGTATTTACATTTATTGTCTTGATGTACACCATTTCCTCCCTAACTAGCACCAAAGGACCCAAGAAAACAGATTTTAATAACCAAATAATATCAAACAGAATGGAAAGATAACTACCTAAATGCAATCACAAACAATAAAACTAATGTGAATGACAAATGAATAATGTAATCACATGGAAGGAATGAGGGAAAAAAGAAGATTATCTCAGGTTGCGAGTAAGGGGAGGAGTGTAGAAAAAAAGATTAGAGTCGTATAGGAAAAACATTCAAAAGAAATCAAAGGAGATTTCAATGACCAAAGTTAGAACAATTCAACAAATAAAAATGGTTTTATAATTTGATTCCAATTCAAAGTTGTGGAAGAGCATAATTATTCATGACTGATAGGAAATAATTTATAAATTGACTTAATTAAGAAGTGAATTTCATAAAAAAAGAACTTTATAAATGACTTTAGAATGTACAGAAACGTAGGTAAGAAAAATCGCTCTTTAGAAGAATTTCAATGAATAATTAAATGTGAAAGCAGTGAGGAAAAGAAAACGTTACCATTGGGCAATAATTTTGGTATGCCTGTCCTCTAGAGACAGCAGGAGGCCTCCAATGGCCTAAGCACAAATTCCCTTCTTATTGTTCTCCCACAAGTATAATCCACTAGTCAAAGAACCCTTCTGATTATAGGTATGAGGTACAGTGATTGCTTCTACCTGAACAGCAGGCTTCAATTTCCTATTCTATAACCCTCCTAGTTATAGAAACAAGTCAATTACTTGTGAGGATAATGTCACTTCATCTTTTTTTCACTCTAAAAACTACTTTCCCAGCCCCAGTCCCTGCTTGTTCAACTTTCTCCAGAGTGCAATGCTGAGAGACTCTATATTAGGATGACTATCCTTGACTATGAGCAAATGCTACTAATAAACCGTTTTGCAGAAATTCTGCCTAGTCTTGAGTGTTAGGTGTTCAGACACCTTCAGACCAGTAGGGAGGAAATTCCTCCCACAACACTGAGGTGAAAGGGGTGTGTGTGTGTGTGTGTGTGTGTGTGCATGTGTGTGTTTGTGTGTGTAAGAGTGGTTGGGGAATAAAATATCTATTCTTGCTAAAAATGTGTAACTTTAATCATAAGAATAACTTCAGATAAACTTAAGCTGACATTCTTTAAAATATTATATTTTTAATTTTTCCAAAATTTATTTTATTGTCTACCTATCTTTATTCTCATCTACATAAAAAGCATATCCCTCTCTTTGTGGAATATAAAGTAACATCATAGGAAACTAACACCTAAGGACAGTTAAAATATGGGTCAGGAGGGCTGCCCCACAGCTTGATAGCTGATCTCATGCGCTGGGGGAAAAGGTAGCTAGGATGGAGAGAGGAGCACTAAATAAATGATGGTTGGAGGGATCGCTCAGGATAGTAGATGCATGATGAAAGACTATGAACCAAATATGATGGCTGCTTGTTACCTGTATTGCAAACCATAACACCCAAAGGACAGAGAGAGAGTAATAGGGATTGTGCCTGCCACAGAGGCAGGAGGTGGGAAGAGGTGGGGGTATAGGGAGGGATACTGGAAGCGTTGTGGGTGGAGAATGGGAACCGGTGGAGGGATGGGCACTTGAACATTGTTTGACTGAAATGTAATCATGAAAGTTTGTAAGTCTGTAAATGCATCTCATGATGATACATTAAAATTTAAAAAAGCAGATCCATATCTAAAATGAACTTCTATTTGATGGTCCAGCTCCTGTCACTTCTTCAGTTAAGCCCTCTTTGAAAGGTTCAAGCAGATGTGACCTCTTCCTTAAAG